AAATTTTAAGATACCCTTATCAATCTTTTCTTGCAAGATATTACGAAAAATAAGACAATTATCAGTAGAATGCTTCCATGAATTATGAAATTTGCAATAATCTCTAGCTCCGATTTCAGCCGCTGTCGGGATTTTATGTCCCGACGGCAGCTTAATCAGACCACTCTTTTTAAGGTGGTCAAATATATCACTAGCTTTTGACACATCAAAAGTATACTGTTTTCCAGCCTCACCAACATAACGTCTCACAGACGTCTCAGGCTGGTGAGTTGGTCTGACAGGGTCTGGACAAACAACAGGCTTGTCTGTAACAACCTCAGCCACATCAAGATCAAAATTAGGGTCACTGTAATAGGTTCCATGTGATGCAGCTTTCTTTTGAACATCTTCTTTCAGCAGATTTTCATACCGAGCCACTTTATAAGACAATTCATAGAAGTCTCAGAATTCCATCCCCTCAAATTTCTTTCGGAGCTCAATGTCCAGACCATTCTAAGCCAGCTTGACAAACTCTTGTTCTGGCAGTGCAACTCTACATTTCAGTCTGGCTCTCCAGAATCTCGCAAGGAATGCCTCAGACGACTCTCTAGGCTTTTGGGCTAACCTCGACAAGTCTGCCATAGACACTTCTGGTTCACAATGATAAAATTGAGTATGAAACAAGTCCTCCATTTGCCTCCAAGAGTATACTGAATTTTGAGGCAGACTGAGGTACCAAGTAAGGGTTGTTCCAGTCAAAGAGCTAAGGAACAGTCTGAGTTTCAAGTTATCATCTCCAGACGCCTCTCCACATTGTATTGTGAAGCGTCCAATATGTTCAATAGTGGACTGACCAACCTCACCAGAAAATAAAGTGAACTCAGGCACTTTAAAACCCCATGGAAAAGGATTTTCATGATCAATGATGTCTGGATAAGGCTTCCTGTAGGCTGGACGCACCAATGGTCTCAAGGCTGGTCTATAGGTTTCTTGTACCAAATCTATTAGCTGATCTCTATTGAATAATTGAGCTGGGTGATTCTGTAGACCGCGCTGTACTGGCTGGGCTGGAGGAACTTGCGACTGGAAAAAATCCCTTGGGTAGGGTTGATGATGAGGACCCACATTTCCCCTCCTACCTGGCGGAACATACCTATGCTGAGGTTGATGGCCATGGTCTGCAACAAAAGCAGCAGCCTCCATTGGTTCATGATGTCTTTGTCCTTCACCCATGAAGAAATTCTGTTGTTGAATGTTAGGATGAGGCTGATTCCCTTGCCCCCCGAGTGCTGGGATTGGGGCTTCCTGAATCTGTCTGGGCATTTCAACGATTGGAGGAGGAATCTCAGGTCTGGGCTGTCGCACTTGCTCAACCACTTGTTCTGAAACAGCCTGCAGTGTTCTGCGACTTTCTTCCCCAGTTTCTCGCATCACCCTAGTGCCTTCCTCAAAAACCCGTCTCATCTCTTCTATACATTGTCTAACTAACTCTTCCTAACGTCTGGAAGATTCTGTTTGACTGTCAACAAGTCTCTGCATAGCCTGGTTCTGTTCTTTGAATGCTAAATCCAGACGTTCAGCCATACCTCTAAACATATTACTTGATTCAGCAAAGTCACCTCCACGGTCTGCTTCTTTCTCCTTAAACACTGGATTCCCATAGGACCGTTCTGCTAGAGGTGACACTGGGAGAAAAGTGATGGGATCATTTTCGCCCTCAGAGTGGAGTGGACGGTCGTCTGCATGGTCAGCTTGGGCTGGCTGAACCTCTTTGTCTCTGCTCTTTCTCGGTGGCATGGTTCTAGACGCTTCTGGATGTATAAAGAGAGGGTCTGTAAACTTTAACTGATACACTTTGCTGGTCCCACCGGGCGTGCCAAAAAAGGATTGTTTCCTCAAAAATCCTCAGCTGGCCTTTACCACGTGAGTTGGATGTTAGGCGTGCCACTTGCTTTGTCTAAAAACAAGAAAATAGGATTTTCCAGACGACCCTTCTCCTTTCCAGCGGTCGACCTCCAATGGGATGGCTGGAAAGAACGTCTATGAAATCAATTGCGCCCCCAGACGATGTTGCAAAACAGAGGGTAGAGCTCTGCAAAATGGGTTACTAATTGCCTTGGAAACCTCAAAGGACTTCACAACTAGACAAGTGTAATAAAAGCTACAAATCCTAAAATAAATGCAATATCCTAGAGCAATTAAACTAATATAAATTAATTAACAGAAAATAACATGCCATAAAGATTAAATTTGCAGACAACATAATAAGTAAAATAACAGACAATGATTTCAACTACGCAGCCCATAATGACAACTAAAATTGAAGAAGAAACTATGAAATGATTAAAGTCTGGAAACTTATAAATTTAAATCTGGAAATGAAAATGAAACAAACTGCATGTCTGGATATTATGTAGAAACAAAAGAACAAAGGTAGAAAATGTTCATCCTATTTACATGAACAAATAAAATAACTAAATCCATAAAAGGAAGAAGAACTAACCGGATCAAAAGGGCAGACCTGTTTTGAAGGCTAAATTGCTTCCAAATATTTAAAAATAAATCTAAACTGGAATTTGCGGAAGGAAATATGAACAAAGATGAACAAACCTAGGCTAAGGCTATGAACTAATCTGGAAAGTCTGGGAAATCTGGAAACTATTGCTGAAATCTGGAAAATGCAGTCTGAAAGCTGAAAAACATGTTCTGGGCAGTCTGTGTGTGTGTTGGGCAGGCCTGTAACTGTTCTCTTCTCTCTGTTTTTGTTCCCTTTGATGCTGGTAACCTCTTCCATGATCTTCTCCATGATCTTCGGTACTGTTCCTCCATTTTCGGCACTGTTCCTCCATGATCTGGTAATGGGATTGCAGGTCTGGCAGTTATTTAATAGTTATCCGATTTTTATTTAACCTTATCTCCAACAACCTTAAAGATAACTACCTAAAAATCTTCAATTTCCCATTTTAAATCAAACTCAAACTACCAGATCCAATCTTATCTTCTGCCACCTAAGATCCAACCTCCTTAGAAATTCGTCTGGGCCATTAAATTGTAAGCCAGCCCAGCCCAAATCCAGCCTATTGATTTTCTTGATGATTGAGCTTTACCTTGACACGTGGCCTTACCCTATTGGTCTATTTTAGGTGTAAACACCTGGCAATGTCCCCTCCGCTCCCCACCACATCAATCCAAAACCCTCATCCAAATGGCCCAAACCAACCTACACCCTCAAAATAGATGCCCATAATACTCCCACTCCTCATTACATAAAATACATTTCAATTCACTCTCATTCAAGCACACGCCTCTCCTCTATAAATTATCCTTTGTTGGCAACCTATTAAGCAATAGCCGCCAACCAAATATACTGATTTTAGAAGGTACATACTTACTCCATAACTCCCTCCAAAACACCTTATCCTCCACCACTGTGTTACAAGATGAAAAACTGTAGGTTGCTTTTGCAGAATATCGACCCCTTATCACATAACCACCTCCATACATCCTCCCTTTCCTCCCTAATATTTAAAACCAAATGCAGCTAGGCCTAAAACCCTAAAACAATGTAAGATTTGCAGTAACATTAAACATGCCTAAGATTTGAAGAAACACAGAGAAGCAGCGCAAGGAGAATTGAGAATTGAAAACTCAAAATTGAAGCACACGTATACAATCACAATAATATATTCACAGTATTTACCGAACGAAATCCAGGAAAAGAAAAACCAAATCAGATTTGAGGCAAAAACAGCGACAGAGAGAGGAAAAACAGAGAAGTAACATACATTCCAATAATCTCAGATCTCAAGTATTAAACTCACTTAACCAATAATTCAATCATAGAATTAAGATAATTTTAACAATGGTAAGTAATTACAGTACCAGAGAAAGGCTAGACTCCATTTTCTTAACTTCCTCACCGGTAGACTCTAGGGATGGCATCCATGAAATTTTATCACTCTGCTCTGGCTTAAGATCTCCGATTTCTCTTCACGATTGCTTCTCTTCGGTTCTTCTCTGTCCAACTACCTTCTTTGTGCAGGTGCAGCTCCAGTGCTCCCTTTTCCTTCCTCCCGTTATCTAGTCTAGAACTAGTAGAATCTAAAGAATAAGAAAGTTTAGTCCTAGGATATTCTTTTCTCTCTCAACACTCCTTTCTCTTCCCTTCTCTTCCCTTCTCTCACTTCTCTAACGTACTGTTTGGATAGAAAATAGTAAAGGGAAGGGAAGGGAAGGGAAGGGAAGGGAAGGGAGGGGGACGGGGGGGAAATAGAAGGAAAAGGAGGGAAAAGAAAGGAAAGGGAAGGGAAGAAAATGGAAGGAGATGATTTGTATTAATTTTGTTTGAATAAATAAAAATGAAAAAGGGGAAGGGAAGGAAATGACCATATTTTTTATATTTGGATAATTAAGGTAAAAGAAAGGGAAGGATTTAAATTAATTTTAAATTTATAAAGATGGAAGAGGACAGTTTATGGTAATATATAAAAAGGTTAATTATGTAATTATCTTTAATTTAATTTAAATAATCCCTACAATTCCTCCCAAACCTCCCAAATCGAAAGGATTGTAAATCTACAAAGTCGAGGATAGTTGGAAGGAGACCGAATCTGTCGATCTCCCTCCTCTTCTGCCGCTTTAGAAACCCAAACAAGAGGAAGAAGACAACCTCCCCTCACCCCCCCTTCCTTATTATCCGTCCCCATCCCTTCCCCTCCCTCTTTATCTGATACCTCCAATCCAAACAATACGTAAGAGTCTCCAAGAAACTCTACCATCCAATAGTTTTTTTTTTTTTGTTAAACCCTCTTTTTGGTCTCTCATTTATTGTACGGATTCATAATTTAGTTCCTTATTCATAATTTAGTTCTTTAACTCAAAAAATCTCTGATTTAATCCCTATTATTTATTATTTTTATTTTTATTTTGTCCTTCCATTCAAAATCTCGATGATGTGGCCTATTAATTCATGGTTACTTTATGAGCTATCAAATGTTAATACACATGAAAGATAATATGACAAAAAAAATGATGACATGAAAAAAATAATAATATAAATAAATGATGCGTTAAAATATAATTATCTAATTCATTTAAAATTACAATTTTACACTCATCTTTTTCATCCACATCCTCTTTCTCAAATCTTCTTCATCCATTCTTTTTTTTCTCTCTCATTGCCTCCTCCAAGACCATTTTTATCACTATTTTTCTAAATCAAACAATCAATTCATCAATATCTTTCCTTGGAATCCACTTTCATCACCACTTTTCAAACCCACAAAAACCCAGCACCTACTTGGTTCAAAATCGAACCCCCATTTTTGGCTTTCTTTGTTTTTCCTTTCTCCTGCCTCTTCCTTTCCTTTCACTTTCTACAAACCTAGACACCTTCTAACATCAAATCCAAGTATAACACAAACATAAACCCATAATCTGGCCAAAATAGTCACTGTTCCTCTCAACCTTCCAAAAAACCCAGAAAAATCAAGGTATCTTCTCCCAAATTTCTAAAAAAGCCCAGCTAAAGCACCTAAAACAAAGACAAAAAATCAAACAATAAGAAGATGAAAAGCCTAAACCAATCAAAATCCAGCAAATCTGTTGGGAAAAACCCAACGATTGCTGGGTTCTCGAACCCAACTGGGAAGAACTTGATCTGCTGGGTTTGTGAACCCAGTTGGGAAAAACCCATCGGCTGCTGAGAAGAACACAACGGCGGTTGGGTTCACGAACCCAGCAGATTGGCTGGGAAGAACCCAGTTGGGAAGAACCCGATCTACTAGGTTCGTGGACCCAAAAGTCGTTGGAAACCCAACAGGCGTTGGGTTCTCGAACCCAGCTGGGAAGAACCCATCGGCTGCTAGGTTCTCAAACCCAGTTGACTGCTAGGTTCCTAGGTTCATTGGGTTCAAGAACCCA